ATACACACACACACACACACACACACACACACACACACACACTGATGCAGTCATATCTGAGTGCTGTTTCTTTTATTGATTATTTTCCCAACACACTCAAGGACGCCTCAAACAGGAGATAACGGCATCTCACACACTTCCAGTTCTAGTTCATATTTATTGCTGTATTTATGAAATATTTCATGTTTAATTTAAGCATATTTTCATGTAGTTAATGGGCTTTAATATTCATCAATAAATTAAGACGCATCAGTATAATGCAGCACGAGCGTCGGAGCACGTTATTAGCTTTAGCGTGTTTGATCGTCACATGTTCTGAATTATCCCCATTTATTTCTGCGGATTTGTGATCCTCTGCAAAAATAGCATTCTGGCAAACGTCTGCTCCAAGTTTATATATCATGCACACAAGCTTTCTCCCGAACAGTTTCAAGAAGAAAATTGTTTAAGATATAAAGTAGATTTACATTTCAGTTCTTTGCTGATTTTCTCTACTGTAGCAAATCTGATTGACACATTCAAGCGTGGCATATTAAAGCAATAGTTCAGCATAGCTGATGAAAATGTGCTCATCCTCAGATCATCCAAGATCAGGATGAGTTTGTTTCTTCATCAGATTTGGAGAAATGTAGCATTGCATCAGTGTCTCAGCAATGTATGCTCTGCAGTGAATGGGTGCCGTCAGAATGAGAGTCCAAACAGCTGATAAAAACATCACAATAATCCACAAGTAATCCACAGCACTCCAGTCCATCAGTTAACATCTGGAGAAGACAAAAGCTGAAACTAATCCAGCATTAAGACGTTTTTAACTCAAATACATTGAGTCCATAATCCATAATAACTCTTCCTCCAGTGAAAAAGTGCATCTGCTGTTGTCTCTCACATCAAAATCAGCCACATATTTGTTTAGAGCGGTTTAAACGTTGCTTGATCTGTGCAGATTTCTCTCCTGATTCACACCAGAACACTTTTTCACTGGAGGAAACGTTATTATGGATTATGGACTCTATG